TGAAGTGAAGCTAGACTGGACTTAATGAACAGCCCTCTCCCTCTGCGGCCTCGCTGGGTGTCCGTGCCTCGCTCTGCAATAAAACTGAGCTCTCTCATCACTCTCAGTGGCTTCTGTTATAGCATGTAATTGTGTGTTGAATAAGGTGGATAACTGGCCTCAGCAAATTAGAGTAATTTGTATTTCAGCTGACAATCATGCATCAGTGATCGTAGTTCCCCAAATGGATTCATGGTGACTGGAGAACCCAGCTAGTGTTTGTCTTATGTAAAGGCAGATGTGTCACAATTTTTTAAATTAGCTAATATATTACACAAAACAGGTCATTTTTTTTTTTGGTCAAAGAAAGAAATGAAATGTACACAACTGTATACCCAAAAGTAGTTTGGATTGGCTTTGAGTAAGCTTTCTAAGTCACTTAGGTAAGCAGTAATGAACCTGCAATGGGTGTGGCTTTTTTTTTTTTTTTTTACATCACAGGCAACATTTAAATGCAGGATTCAGAATCTTGGTCAGGTTTCGCTGTTCAGGTTTCACTGTACAGTTAACAAGAGGGAGAATCTCAAACAAACCATATCCTCCTAGAGTAAGTCTCCTTTGTGTTTTGAAAATGCTCTTATTATTTCATGTACTTATGCATAAATATGTTCTCTTTTTGCTGAAAAGAATTTGTTTGTCTGTTCTAAGTATGATTTATCTAATTATTTGCATGCACTTTATTTTTTAGATTGCTAACAACTAAAATGTATTATTCTACACCACTGTATTCTGGAATCTGATTGGTCAGAAGGTGTTGATTATTTTTTATAACAGCACAGGTTTATATTAATGGGCTTGTTCTAATATGTTATCATTTCACTGATGGATGTGTCACATAATCTAACAATCATTGAAAACAATCAACTTCAGGGTGGTAATAATAACTCCAATTTGTGTTGGAGTTCATCATGCCACCACACTGTTGATTATTTTCCTATAACAGTACATCCTATTATTTTTTTTTTATTCCATACATAATAAAGACTTGCATAAAGAATTTGCCACACTGAACTGCACTACCTTTCTTGCTTAGCATTTCTAGTGCTCTGTTTTTTACAGAATCTCTGTGCTTTTGTCATTTTCAGTCTACCTCAACTGTCGCAGGTGCTGCCATGTCGTCTTCATTGTCTGTCAGCTCTCAGCTAAATAAAGTGCTGCGCTCCCACTACCTCAGCCTTCCTCAGGAAGGTCTCTGTCAGGTCACCTATGTCTGGATTGATGGCTCAGGGGAGGGTCTTCGGAGCAAAACCAGAACCTTGGAGTCTGAACCCAGCAGCATTGAGGGTATCACAAGAACATAGTCTGAAATTACGCTCTAATCGATTAAAAAAAAAAACAAAACTAAAATTACGGTTCTGTCAGTTGGACAATGTGTGCTTAGTCTAGCTATTCAATCCAAAGGCATTTTGTGAAAATAGGATGATAGAGTAAATAATCCACCTTCATTCATTACACCCATGACTGCATTTCAAATGCACCTTCTCAGTCATTACAGATGTGTCACTCTGTGTAATCACCTGACACGACTGTCAGTGATAGGCTGCATGAATCTACAGTCTGGATTAGAAAGAAATCAGCCCCAGCCTCACTTCTTCATACTATTCTGTGTGTTTTGCATTGGTGGTACTGTTATGTTTGGCTCCACAAAAGTCCAAATCCACCATAAAACATTTTTTAACACAAATAATGTGATGCCAAAAATGAAACCTTAATGATATCTTTTTTTTTAACTGTTGAAAGATAAGGTGGCTTAGCACTTAGATTTATACAAGTTGTCTCTGGAACAGGGGGTGAATGTATTTATTTTGGAAATTTCTACATTTTTAGCGTGATTGGCTTTTTGTACAAATGCATCAGAAATTAAGGGGGAAAAAATGGAATTTATGTTTAAAATTCTCCATCAGATCAAACACATAGACCTAATATCTATTGTTATATCTATTTGTTGAATCGTTCAAGGTAGACTATTTTTGTGATTTTTTCTTGAAATTTATGGAATTTTCTCATTTTAAGGAGGTTTCTACTTTTGCACTTGAAATAAAGAATCTGAAGCTCTACTTCAACTAGTGTATTTTTTGGTACTTGATAAGTAATTGTACTATGGTAAGGAATTTATATTTTACACTTCTGATCTTTGCTGAACTTTTGTACTAGATATTCCAGAGTGGAACTTTGATGGCTCTAGCACAAACCAGGCTGGGATTTCTGACAGCGACATGATCCTGGGTCCAGTATGTATATTCAGAGACCCTTTCACTCTGGACCCCAACAAACTGGTGCTCTGTGAGGTGCTCAAGTACAACCGCAAACCTGCAGGTATAGTCAAAGTTAGCCCATTTGATTAATGATTGATTGTATTATTGATTTAAAAAACTGTACTTTGATATTGATTTTGATCATATGCAGACACTAATCATCGGAATGTCTGTAAGAAGATCATGGAGAAGGTGAAGGACTTCCACCCATGGTTTGGGATGGAGCAGGAGTATACTCTGCTGGGTATAGATGGACATCCGTACTCCTGGCCATCAAACGGTTACCCCAAACCACAGGGTGAGAAATAAAGTTTATGTCAGAGTGCTGAATTAGATGCTTGGGCATTTTATTATGAAAGACAAAAAGATAGTGCTTGTCCTAATTATTATAATAGCTATTTACACGTTTTATTGTGTTATAGGTAAAACTGGAAATGCTCAGACACAAAGTATACTGTAGCTTTTGAATCTGATCCTGTGCCTAATGTTTCTGTCTATATAAATATCACATGCAGAAGTCTTTTCATGTTTTTTCTAATTTCTTTATCAGGTCCATATTATTGTGGCGTGGGTGCAGATAGGGCCTATGGCAGAGACATTGTAGAGTGTCACTATAAAGCGTGCATTTATGCAGGCATCAAAATTTATGGTGCCAATGCAGAGGTGAAGCCCTCTCAGGTAATTTCCAACTTCCATTCATTCTATTCATTGTGAGTCGTATTCAGAGTTTAGGTGAGGATTTAATACCACAATTGCACACATCGATATTTGGACCTTAGACGTATTTACAGACGTAAGTGCTATTCAGAATTTACATGAGTTGCACACATGGGGCAGAGTTTGCGTAAAACAGAGGCATGTCTCCGTTACATGTGATTCTGACCATTTTTTGCGTGATATCGGCTCAAGTGAGGAATAGCATTAAGTTCAGCAAAAAAAATAAAAATAAATAAAAATAATGTGCTGGATCAAGTGCTATTTTATAAGCTATAATTACAATTAGGCCTAGAAATAAATTGTCAGTATATTATTAGATTTAGAGTTTATTTCAATGTTTACCATCTTCTCATTTACACATCATGGTATTAGTCTTTTTTTTCTTTTTCATTTTTTTTGGGGGGTTTAAAGGCAAGTGCTTGTATTTAAAGGTGTTGGTCTAGACACTACTGAAAATCTCAGATGCTTCTACTTCTGAACGAAGAGCCCAGAAAATCGACTCAAGCATGTGTGTAACCCATGCCTGAATATGCACAAATTTTTCCACATAAATATCAATATAACGTTTGGACATAAGTCACCAAATCTGAATACAGCCTTTTTGAACATGTGAAAGGTTCAAAGATACATGCTGCTGAACATTTTTGCATGTCTCTATACAGTGGGAGTTCCAGGTGGGTCCATGTGAAGGAATTGGAGTAGGAGATCACCTGTGGATGGCGCGCTTCCTATTGCATAGAGTGTGTGAAGACTTTGGTGTAGTCGCCACTCTGGACCCCAAACCCATCCCAGGGAAATGGAACGGAGCTGGCTGCCACACTAACTTCAGCACTGAGACCACTAGAGCAGAAGGAGGGCTTGAGTGAGTACATTTTTATACAGGGATATGCAAACAAAAATAGGTATGTCCTTACGCATGTCCTTGTGCTTCTTTCCACTATATTAGGCATATCGAGAAGCTCATAGAAAAATTACGTGCGCATCATGTCCAGCACATTCGAGTCTCAGATCCCCATGGTGGTAAGGACAACCAGAGGAGACTCACAGGCTTTAATGAGACCTCCAATATCCATGAGTTCTCAGCTGCAGTGGCTAATCGTGGAGTCAGTATCCGCATCCCCCTGCAAGTTAGCCAGGACAAGAGAGGATATTTGGAGGATCGCCGACCTGCCGCCAACTGTGACCCATATGCTGTGACCGGTGCTATTGCTCGTACCTGCCTAATGGAGGAAGAGGAGGAAGACATCTTGACTGATCTGGATATTAATGATTTGGAGTAAAACACTCCAAATTCCACTAATAAACATGATCCTATGTTATTGGATATATAATATATACAGTAGTTTACAAATGTTTACATATATTGAATATACTGTATTGTACTGTACTGTATTAGATAATAGAATAAATAAGAAGGGAAATGATACACAAGTGATTTGTTGTAAAGCAAGACATTCTATGCACATAATTACACCAGTGTCTATTTAGATCTGTACAATGGCACTCTGGGAAAATGTTGAATAATGCAATTGTGAAAGTGTCTGGGAAATCTGTGGCACTAGCAGTTTCTATAACATAAGTTTGGCTTGAACTGTATCTTAAGCCTATGAAATTCTTGTTATTCTGCGAGGATGAGTAAATACGAAGGAGTCCATGTCTTATTCAGAATTATTTATGAATAACCATCCATCCAGATGAATAAAAAAACCTTACTGCATACCCTGTAATATATTTACTGTAGATTTTACAGTAATTAACTGGCAAGCTGGTTTGCCAGCAAAGTACTGTAAAATTTACAGTAAACATGGTACACATCATCTAAAATAACATGGTATAAAATAACACATAATCCAGTACATTTACATTTACTTTGGCTGATGCAGGATACAGTTGAGCTTAAGGTTAAGTGTCTTGTTGATTGATTGAGCCACCACAACAAGCTCAACTAGCTTGCACTAATTCAAGCATTACTACAAGCTAGTTGAGCTTGTTGTGGTGGCTCAGTGGTTAAGGCTTTGAGTAACACATCAGAAGGTCATGTGTTCAAATCCCAGCACTGCCAAACTGCCATAGCTGGGTCCTTGAGCAAGACCCTTAACCTTCAGCTCAGCTGTATCCTGCATCAGTTAAATGAGCAAATGTACTGGATTATGTGTTATTTTATACTATGTAAGATATTACAGTACTTTACTGTAAATATGTTTTACAGTTGTTGCCAGGTTGCCAGTGAATTACTGTAAAATGTACAACAATTCTTTTTAGGCTCCAGGCTTCCCGTGACCCTGTGTAGGATAAGCAGTACAGAAAATGAATGGATAACACGATGCATCTAGTTTCAGGCTTAAATTTCACTGCAAATACAAAAAAAAAAAAAAAGTTAGCATTTTTACCATGTTTTTCATTAAAACTACAAGCTAAAGATTAAGCTACAAAAGATTAGAGGTGTGTGTCTATAATGCAATCACTTCATTTCACAGCAAATTTCACAAGGGGGCAGCACAAGCAAGCACTGAATCTTGGCCCTGAGTCACATAGGAAAACAAGTTGCAAGATGTTAATAATCTTTAAAAAATTCTTCAAGTGTTGTTTAGAGTTCCTAACATGACATCCTGTAGACCTATTGCATTTGTTAGGATTTGGTTTTATATTAGATGTGCTTTGCCTTCCTGTCTTTGTCTATCCTAGGTAAAACCTCTAGATCTACTGCTGACAAAAAGAACATCAACATGTGGTCTAATTGTATTGACAGCTAGTTTGTTTAAGCCATTCCACAAATAGGTGTGTTTTTTAAGCTGAAATTAATTAAAGGCTACAGCCATGTAGAGTATGTGTCTCTAAACAATCAACACTCTGGTTCAGGTATTTTTAACGTGCAAATCAGTTTTCCAGTACTGTCAGATTTATTAATATTATTATTAATATTATTATTATTCTGTGGTATTAAATGTGCAGCTCATGCTAAAAAGATTTTAAAGATCATAAGCAGGCAAGGCAGTCACATTCCACATTTTATTCCTTAGTAATCTAGTACGGTAAAAGCATTCACTTTTTTCCTTACTTACTAGCCATAATATAATGGGAATTTTTTGCTATGTGTGTAGACTTGGTGTATATCAGCCACATTTTAAATGTGCCTATTACATTTTGGTATACATACGTATGCAAATCAGTCTATCTAAATTTAGAGTTAGTGTCTGAATTTGGCCTGAACTACATGGACAAAAGCAAATTCTGATTATATTTCTACACACCATGATTGTGGTATGCCTTGCACTGCATTTATACCAAGTAATGAACGCATGATGGATCACAATTAATTGTGTCACAAGATTGTATTGCATTAATGTTACCAGAATAAGCTTTTTTCTTAAATCATGCCAATGAAACCCAGAGAAAATATAGCAATTGGTGGAGTGCTCTATTATGTATTGCTACCTTCTACCATATCAGTAGTATTGCAAAGGCCAGAATTGTGATACTGTTAAACAAACAATGTATTGTGCAGTCTGGATCAGATCAAATCAGAAATTGGCTTCCAGTAAGGATTAACCCCTCTCTTTTCTACATTTACATTTATGGCATTTGGCAGACGCCCTTATCCAGAGCAACTTTTCTCTCCATCCTATCTTCACAGGATGTTGGTGAAGGGTGCTGGAGATTATAACCTTCAGAATTATAAATGCCTGCGGATGACATGATGTCCGTTCTGTCCTCCCTTGGATTAAACTGAACTGCACTACATACGCCAGGCCTGCTGCAGAGACAAACCGCAGCTGTCAGCATGCCCAGAAGACTGGAGAGTGTTTTTCAAAAAATATGGGCGAGGGTTAAAAGTCCATCATGGTCGTCATTTCATTTAACCATAACAGTGACATGTGAGGGAAGGGTTCTGCGTTCTTGCATACGAGTGGAGGTACAGGACAGAAAGAAAGACAGAAGTTTCTAATTAACTTATTACATTATTACACTCTTAGAATAAAAAAAATGAGCAGTGGCTCTCAAAATGGGGCAGTCAGTGATTTTTCTTTTTTAGTACAATGGCATGTATAACTGCTATTATAAACATTATTATATTTATTACTAAGTTCTTACAGTTATTAGCCTGTTTGACTTGTCACTTGAATTGAATGGATTTAAACCAAATCTCAACAACTCACAAACAAACTGGTCTATAAATAATGTCAACTTAGACCTAATGTGTCCTGTTGGTGGAAAGTTAAGCAAGAGAAACCTCTCCAGCTCCAGTAAATAGCCAAAATATTATTGTACACATTTAAATAATGAGGTATTTCAATAGTTGGATAATGTTCATTAAAATAAATAGGTTGACAGGGTCAGTGGAATTATTTTACACCTAATGAGGTCCCTAAAAATATATATATAAATAAATAAATAAAAAATAAAAAAGTTTGAGAACCCCAGCTCTGGAATGTCCGATTGCAAAAGTTTGTACACCCTTCAAACAAAATTAATAAGCCAAAGAAATGATAACTCTGACTCTTCTGCATCGTTTCAACAGTCTTTGACTCTGGACACTAGAGGCACGTGACAGTGTCTATTCTTTCATTTTCGGTTGATTGCATGAAAGACCTCGTGTTCTGGATTGTTGTCTTGGGAATTTTTTTTTTTTTTTTTTTTGGGAAAAACAGAGGCTACTGTAGTTCATCTAGAAACCATGCAGGATGCAAACATTTGCACTCAACCCAACTGCACTGTGAGCCATAGTTTACTTTATTAATATTCTGATATCTTTTATTATAATCTAAATACATTTGCAGAATGAAAGCACCTACATGGATAAATAATGCTGCATAGGCATATTAGCAAGGCCTGCACTGCACGCGCTTCCCTACAGTCCGTGATGACGTCACGCCCTGCTCTGTCGAGAGGGTGGAGAGAGAGAGAGAGAGAGAGAGAGAGGGAGTGTGTGTGTGAGAGAGAGAAAGAGAGAGAGAGAGAGAGGGAGTGTATGTGTGAGAGATAGAGAGAAAGAGAGAGGCGGAGTGTGTGTGTGAGAGAGAGAGAGAGAGAGAGAGAGAGAGAGAGACGGAGTGTGTGTATGTGAGAAAGAGAGAGAGAGAGATAGACAGTGAGAGACAGAGAGACAGAGATAGAGAGACAGACAGAGTGAGAGAGAGAGAGAGAGAGAGAAAGAGAGAGACGGAGTGTGTGTATGTGAGAAGGAGAGAGAGAGAGATAGACAGTGAGAGACAGAGATAGAGAGACAGACAGAGTGAGAGAGAGAGAGAGAGGTGGGAACGCTGCAGGTGTGACGTCACGCACGCGACTCCGCCGTCCACCGCACGGATCCAGCAGAATCTCACGCGCTTTTGGCTCGCGAGCTGAGCGGCACCGAGACGATGGGCAAGCTGCAGGAATTCGAAGTTACTTTCAGCCACAATAAAGTGGTGTACAGCCCGGGAGAGACCATCTCGGGAACGCTGAGGATCATCACCGCCAACTCGCTGCAGTACAAGGGTGAGCGGCTCCGTTCGCGTCACTGCTCACTGCTCACTGCTGGCTTTACACGGTCACCGATGACCGGCAGAGACCTGGCAGGGTGGAGTGCTTTTAATCTGGATTTGTGATTAAGGATATTTACGCTTATGACCATTTCACATATAGGAGTGTCAGACTCCAGAGCTAAAACAACACTGCATGCTGAGCTTCCCGTTTTCATCTCATCTAACGCACCTGCTTGTATTAATGCACTTCTTACCAAATTCAGGTGTTTAACACGCAAAACAAAATGTTTAGGCTTGGCTTGTGTGGCCTTCAGGGATCTGGCTTTGACCCTCCTGCTTATTTCTTATTTCTACTTAGATCTACTGAGTCAGAAAAAGGAAGTCAAGTGTGTTTGTGGTAAAGACTAAAACCCTCAGGAGCGTGCTGTTATAGGAAAACACTGAAAGACAGGCCGGTGTGATCTATCACAACACAATGCATAGTTACTGTTACCATCCCAAAGTTGATTATTTTCCAGTAACAGCACTCCCTGAAGCATTTTATTCCTCTTACTCTATATATCATAGCAATTTGTCATCGATTACACTTATACTTTTTATCCATTTATAGTTACGGTTCATGTTTTGGAACATCTGTGAAAAGAGTTAGTTCCTGTTATGACTACATTATAGCAGCCATAACCAGTCATTCAGTCATCAGTCTGTCTTTTTCTCTATTTTGAAGTTAGTAAGATAAAAACTGTTATTATAGCGTGTCACGTTATTGAGAAAGCAGAAATCGTAAACTGTTCTGTCCTGAAGATTTTCTCACTAACTGTTACAAGGTGCTGAAACTGGAGTCTCCTTCCATAAATTACTAAACGCTTTCTCCTTACAGAAAGCTTCGCCATATCAACGATTAGATGTCTTTGTTAAAGAACATGTTTATTTATACCAGTTTATTATAATTTCTATATTATCTGGAGCCTTTTATACACGTCCCTGTAAATGAGCTGTTATTGATAATGTATTCATATAAACCTGTGATTTGAATTGAACCGACTATTGAAAATTAACACCTTCTGATCAATCATATTTAAGAATTCAGCAGCGCTGTGGTCTGTGTGTTGAAGATGATTTATTCATACACATACATACAAACATATTATATATGTTTGTCTATAGCTAAAATACTTAGAAGATGGGTTGTTTGTTACAGTCCCAGGTGGGTGGTGTTCTTTCCAGTTTGATGATTTCCCTGTTCTAGCATATCTAAACATGTTTCTTAGCTGCTGAGTTGATTCAGGTGTGTTTGAGCTGGCACATCATCAAGCTGTGCATCACTCTGACCTCAGGACAGGAATTTATAACCCCTGGCTTCTAACAGAAACTCAGAATTTTCCAACTCGGTACTGCCCACTCTGCTAACTGCCTTCTGAAACCCTGACGTGATTGTAAAAATATGTGTAAACCTGATGACGTGCACAGAACAGCTACAAGCTATGGAAGATTGCTTCTCTCAAATGAGCGCGTTAGCACACATTGTCTGTGTTGTGATCTATCTATAATGATTACACAGTTCTCACCCCAATAAGCCTGAAAGCTGGGAGCATCAATA